CCTGGGTACCCCCAAAGGACGAGTTGTGTCTCGTGAGGGTTTTCAGACAACACACCTACAAAGTTGCCGGATTGGTCAAAGCATTGCAATTAATTCCAAAGATAAAACGAGCTAGATAACCTAAAATCTCAGAATGGCCCACGGCTTTAAGGTATTCGACTTTCCTACCGACGCAATTAGTTGTTTCTACACCAAAATGAAAGATAGACTCAAGAATCCGTAATTAAACAATAAACACAATCATCAAGGGTTTTGAGTAGAAATGTGGGTGAAAAGTAAGTTTTGATTCTGAAATTCAAAAACTCGAGCTGGGCATAAGTAGGTCTTTTTATTCAATAAGAAATGACAACAACAATATATTGTGATTTTCATCACAACTTTCTTTTTTTTTTTTTTTTCCCTTTTTTTTTTTTTTGTCTTTTTTTTTTCCTTTTTTCCTTTTTTTTTTTGGACGTACAATAAAAACGTAAAATAAAAACGTAAAGCCCATTGATAGATCTTTTAGCCAACAACTCGAAATCGTGAACACATAATTCAATTCTAACTCGCCCCCCAAACCTCAGGGCTATTAGCCCCCTCAAAAAAAATGCGCTCAAGCTTAATCGGAAAGGATTCGAAAGGCTATCCACACAAGTTGCAAAAACGCAGTCGGAAGGTTCATCTATAATTAGCCGGTGATCCATAATTTCAATTTTAAAATCAACTAGCCCATCTACTAATTCATTAATTGCTTTGCTTCAATAGAACCCGGAAATGCAAATTACACTCGATCCTAAATGAAATGCATGTGACAAACATAACACAATTACGGAAATCGAAATACATAAACGAAACTAAATTATATGATATGCATGCAAAAGACCAAATCAAAATAAGATAAATAAAATAAAATAAAAACAAAGTCTAGCAAAGATACATCGTAAACGAAATATCAATCCAACGACTTATCCCAAAACAACGAACTAAAAACAAAAACAAAAACAAAAAGGTTCAACAAACACCACCCTCAAACTCAAATTTTAGCATAGTCCCTATGCTCAAAAGCAGAATAATAAATAAAAGGGAAAGAATACACAACGTCCCTTAGTTGTTTAGGTCCTCCTCGTCGTCGCTCTCTATGACTCGTCTCGCCCGAGAGCTCTCGGGCCTATCCACAGCTGCAGCATGTCGTGGGAAAGGGAGGGGTTGCATAAACCGACACCCATATCGCGATACAGGAGATCATATCGCGATATGGCCTTACCTGGGAGTTCTGGAAAGAGTGCCCCATATCGCGATATGGACACCCATATCGCGATATGGACACCCATATCGCCCGATATGGCAGAATTGCAGACTCTCTGTTTCCCATCCTACCATATCGCGATCTGGACACACATATCGCGATATGGTACCTTTTACCAGCCAAAATTTAGAAAGCTAAAGAGGTGAAGTGACAGAAGTACAAGAAAAGCATATGACAGAAATACGAGAGAAGCATATGACAGAAATACGAGTAACAATGGGGTGCCTCCCATTTAGCGCCTGTTTTACAGTCGACGGCTCGACTTAGTTTGGATTTATTGGGAGAAAATCAGTGCAACACGCTCCACTTCCTCGGGAGCACCATTTGGGTAGTAATGCTTGACTCGTTGCCCATTGACTTTGAATGATGGGCCGTCTCGTCCTCGGATTTCAATAACTCCTTGTGGGGTTGCGCTCAGGACTACGAATGGCCCTGACCAACGGGACTTTAGCTTTCCCGGAAATAGTCGTAGTCGAGAATTGAATAGCAGGACTTGGTCACCTGCCCGAAACTCTCGCTTTGTAATTCTTTTGTCATGCCACTTTTTCGTCTTTTCTTTGTAAATCTTGGCATTCTCGTAAGCATCGTTTCTGAACTCCTCCAATTCATTGAGTTGAAGCAATCGACGATCGCCGGTAGCTGTTTGATCGAAATTGAGCTTTTTGACTGCCCAATAAGCTCGGTGCTCCAATTCCACTGGCAGGTGGCACGCTTTCCCATACACGAGTTTGTACGGAGACATCCCAATCGGTGTCTTGAATGCGGTTCGATAGGCCCAAAGTGCATCATCGAGCTTCAATGCCCAATCTTTTCGGTTCGTGCTCACGGTCTTCTCCAAAATCTGTTTGATTTCTCGGTTTGACAACTCAGCAAGGCCATTTGTCTGTGGATGATAGGCTAGCGCAATTTTGTGTCGGATCCCCAACTTATTCGTGAGATTGGTGAGCAGTTTGTTGCAGAAGTGAGATCCTTCATCGCTAATGATCGCCCTGGGTGTTCCAAACCTTGAGAATATGTTCTTGTGAAAGAATTTGAGGACCGTACGAGCGTCGTTGGCTGTGGTGGCAATTGCTTCGACCCATTTGGACACGTAGTCCACGGCAAGCAGAATGTATAACTTCCCGTTCGAAGAAGGGAATGGTCCCATGAAGTCTATGCCCCAAACATCGAAAAGCTCCACCTCTTGCATGTTGTTCAAAGGCATTTGGCTTTTGTTGGATAGGTTCCCTGTTCGTTGGCATCGATCACATCGTTTCACGAACTCGTAACTATCTCGGAATAGGGTTGGCCAAAAGAAGCCTGACTGCAGAACCTTGGCGGCTGTGCGAGATTCCCCGTGATGCCCGCCACAAGGTGAAGAGTGGCAATGTGTGAGAATCTCACGTACTTCTGCTTCCGGAACACATCTTCGGATGACACGATCGGGGCCGGTTCTGAAAAGCAATGGCTCGTCCCAAAGATAGAAACGACTGTCGTGAAGGAATTTTTTCTTTTGATGATAAGAAAGATCGTCAGGAATGATTCCACTGGCCAAGAAGTTGGCCACATCAGCATACCACGGAGTGTGAGTACTAATGGCGAGCAGTTGCTCGTCTGGGAAGGATTCCTGAATATTTCCTTCGGCTGGAACTTCTTCTAGTATGAGTCTGGAAAGATGATCTGCTACCACATTCTCGCTCCCCTTTTTGTCTCTGATTTCCAAGTCGAACTCCTGGAGTAGGAGTACCCATCTGATGAGTCGGGGCTTGGCGTCCTTCTTTGCGAACAAGTATCGAATAGCTGCGTGGTCGGTGTAAATGATCACCTGAGACCCCAAAATATACGGTCTGAACTTGTCAACGGCATAAACGACAGCAAGCATTTCCTTTTCGGTCGTTGAATAGTTCTTCTGTGCTTGGTCAAGTGTACGACTCGAATAGTAGATGGCCTTGAAGATTTTGTCCCTCCTTTGTCCCAATACTGCACCTACACCATAGTCGCTCGCATCGCACATGATCTCGAATGGTTCCTCCCAATTGGGAGTAATCATAATCGGTGATTGGGTTAGCTTCTCCTTGAGAAACATGAAAGCCTGCAAACAAGCAGAATCAAAATCAAAGACGGCTTCCTTCTCAAGCAAATGACACAATGGTTTTACTATTTTCGAAAAATCTTTAATAAATCTACGGTAAAACCCAGCATGTCCCAAAAAACTTCTAACCCCCTTGACATCCTTCGGTGGAGGCAATTTTTCAATCGTTTCGATTTTTGCCCTGTCCACCTCAAGACCCTTTTTCGAGACCTTGTGACCTAGAACAATACCTTCACGAACCATAAAATGACACTTTTCCCAATTTAAAACAAGGTTCGTTTCTGTACATCTTTTCAAAACAAGTTCTAGATTGTGCACACAATGATCGAAAGACGATCCAAACACAGAAAAATCATCCATAAACACCTCAAGAAATTCTTCTACCATATCATGAAAAATAGACATCATACATCGTTGAAAGGTAGCAGGTGCATTACACAACCCGAAAGGCATCCTACGAAATGCAAAAGTACCGTAGGGGCAAGTAAAAGTAGTTTTCTCTTGGTCTTCCGGGGCGATTGAAATTTGATTGTACCCCGAATAACCATCAAGAAAACAGTAATACTCGAAACCTCCTAGCCTGTCTAGCATTTGATCGATAAAGGGAAGGGGGAAATGGTCTTTTCTAGTGGATGCATTCAATAATCGGTAATCGAAACACACACGCCAACCAGTGACTGTTCTAGACGGAATAAGTTCATTTTTATCATTCACAATAACCGTCATCCCACCCCTTTTTGGCACAACCTGCACCGGACTGACCCACGGACTGTCAGAAATTGCATAAATCATACCAGCGCCTAACAGTTTTAAGACTTCTTTTTTGATTACCTCTTTCATTGACGGGTTTAACCGCCTCTGAGGTTGGACTCTCGGTTTATAGACGTCTTCCATTAGAATTTTGTGTTGAACAATAGACGGGCTAATTCCCTTAATATCCTCAATAGACCAACCTATAGCTGACCTATATTCTCTAAGGACCTCCAGCAGTGTGCTTGTTTCGGCCTCGCTCAAACTTGAAGAAATAATCACCGGATAAGTCTTGTCTGCTCCAAGAAAAGCATAACAAAGATAATCCGGTAATTGCTTCAATTCCAGTACGGGGGCCGTTTTCACACTAACTGGTATCTCGGGGACGATTCCTACCTCGTCTACGCCCAAAGTCTCGGCACACTCAAGAAACAACACACAATCAAGCACATCATTTTCAATAGGAGTTTCAGGGGAGGCAGAATGCAAATCAATAGAATTAACAATGCAGTGCTCAACAGAATCACATAATTCATACAAATCAAAAAAGGAGGAAACACAGTCCTCGAGCACGTCTATTCTACTGCAATGCTCAACATGCTCAGAGTGTTTAAATGCATCTGTCAAATTAAAAACAACTTCTTCCCCATTTACCCTAAGCATTAAAGATCCTAATTCCATATCAATCATCGCCTTACCAGTGGCTAAGAATGGACGACCTAAAATGATTGGTGCTTCATCATCTTCAGGCATTTCAAGTACCACAAAATCAACAGGCAAAATGAATTTATCTACTTTAACTAGCACATCTTCTACAATCCCATCGGGATATTTCAATGAACGATCAGCTAGTTGTAAAGTCATGCGAGTGCGGTTCAAATTTCCTAAGCCCAGTTATAGAAACACAGACATAGGCATCAAATTAATACTTGCCCCCAAATCACATAAAGCTTTATCGAAAGTAGAATTTCCAATAATACAAGGAATAGTGTAACTCCCTGGATCTTTCATTTTCGGTGGTAGATTAGACTGAAGAATAGCACTGCAAGTTGCCGTGAGTGTCACTGGTATGTCTTCTTCGATCCGAATTTTCTTGGATAGGACTTCCTTCATGAACTTGGTGTAGTTTGGCATTACCTCCAAGGCTTCTGCAAAAGGGATGTTGATTCGAATCTGTTTGATCTTTTCAATGAACTTTTTCAATTGATCCTTGAACTTCTTCTTCTTCTGTCTTTCTGGAAAAGGAATAGGAGTTATCATAAGAGGGGGATTATCAGGAAAAGAAATGTTATTGGGCTTACTAGCCTCTTTTGTACTACTCCCTGAAATGGTGATTTCCGGCTCGACCGGGGTCGGTTGTACAGCTGGCCTTGGTGATTCGTCTGTCGGATAAGGAGGATCAGTCATTTGCAAACCACTTCGGGTGGTTATGGCTTGACAGCTTTCCTTTGGATTGACTTCGGTATTGCTCGGAAATCCACCCTTGGCCATTGTGGACATGGATTGGGCGATTTGCCCTATTTGCTTCTCCATGTTCTTCATTGTTGATTTCAGGCCCTCCATTTCCTGTTCTTGTCGGTGAAGACGCTCGTCATACGTTGGCCCTCGTTGCTCTCTTTGATGGTTGAAATCGGGAGGTGGTTGTAGAGCATTCTTTGGATTGGCATAGGAGAAGTTCTCATGATTCCGAATTCCCGGGTGGTAATGAGTAGGGTTTTGGTTCTGATTGTTGGTTCCCCGGAAATTGTTGAATCGGTGGTTCATAAAGTGTGCCTGCTCCCAATCATCGTTTGTGGCTTGTGAGGTGCTTGATGCTGCTACTCGTTCGGTCTGTGGCCCTCGAACAGATAATTGGGCGACCTGATTTGATAGAGTAGCTAATTGTGCTGAAACTGCGGCTAAAGGATCGAGTTGGTGGACTCCGGCCACCTTTTGTATACAACTCCGTTCGGACGGCCAATGGTAAGCATTCTCACACATTCGCTCGACAATGTCTCGAGCGTCTGTGGGAGTCTTGTTTTGCAATGATCCACCTGAGGCAGCATCGACTAGAGATCGGGCTGGTTGATCGAGCCCATTGTAGAATAACTCCATTTGATCCCACGGGTTGAATCCGTGTTGAGGGCATTGTCGTAATAAGTCCTTGAATCTCTCCCAAGACTCGTGCATCGGCTCTTGGCTCATCTGTCTGAAATTGCCTACATCTCTTCGTAGTTGTGCAGTCTTCGAGGGTGGAAAGAATCGTGCCAGAAAGGCTTGTGATAATTCTTCCCAACAGGTGAGTGATCCTGGATTAAGACTCAGAAGCCAACTCTTCGCTTTGTCTCTGACAGAAAATGAGAATAGCTTCAGCCGGATGGCATCATCAGAAACACCGTTAACTTTGATCGTGTCACAAATCTCCAAGAAATTGGCAAGATGGAGATTTGGATCTGCAGTGGCTGCTCCGGAGAATTGGTTCGCCATGACCATGTTGATTAGCCCCGTCTTCAGCTCGAAGTTGTTTGCGGCTATCGTCGGTTTCCTGATTCCCGAATAGTTCTCATTCACAGCTGGAGTTCGGTATTCTCGCATTGTTCGCTCGGGTGGCAGTTCGGTCTTGGCTGCTCGTGATCTCGTCATGGCTCTCGATCGTACTCAAAGGCCAGGTGCTCTGGATTTCCTTGATCTTCGGCCATTGGTTCACTTTGTTGGTTGCGCGTGGCCCTTAGTCTACGTAATGTCCTTTCAATCTCGGGATCGTAAGGTATGATTTCCAAATTTCGACGCCTTAGCATAAACAAAGTGAGTGGTTAAAATCAAGGTAAAAATCGAAAATAAAACAAGTAAATGGCTAAAGTAATAATCAGATAATTGGTAACACTATCAACAAAGATAAAATCAAATTGGTCCCCGGCAACGGCGCCAAAAACTTTATACGCGTTTTCCTCACGTATAAATTACCGCAAGTATACGGTATCGCATTTTGCAGAACAGTGGTTCCGGATATCGATCCACAGGGACCTTGTAGATTCAAATGCTGAGTAGTGTAATTATATTATCGTTATATTATCTAGCCGATCGTAAATAAGTGGATTGGTGATAAACCCTAATTTAAAAGCATGCAAGATCGTAAACATGCAAATATGGAATGTACGTAAATAAAGTACGACAACTCAACGCGGGGGGACTTTGATTTAAAGGGGACTTCTAGGGCCAAATCCACCTATGTATAATCAACAACGATCTACAAATCTGTTATCTAACGCCACATTCCTATTCGTTAACCCAGACGCTAAAGTACTCTAACCCCCGTCTCCAGTGTAGTTAGAGTCTACCCACAGGTCCGACGTCTCCGTTCAGAACCTGCTATTAAGAGAGCATTTAGGCCAAGTCCTTAAGGGCTACCCGAAGTGCATCACGTCTCCGTTTCCACACCCCGAGCTATGTTTTCCTAACTTCAAACAAGAAATCCTCTCTCGAGTTCATTCCTATTTAATATCAATCTGAGAGCTGATCAACACAATCAGAAGCATTTAATACAGGAAAACATAAACGAAATCAAAACACGACAAATAGATAACAGAAATGACGATCGAAATCAATATATACAAGGCTTCATTGCCCTAGAAGAAAATGTTCTTAGTTCATAACAAACATAGAGTCAAAATAATGTACACAAGAAAAGAAGAACAAAACGTAAAGAAATATTGTAAGAAAAACCCAAGTCGAAACCCTCGTTGAAGATTCCCGCGAAGAACTGTCGAAGACCGAAGAAAACCGAAGAAAATCGAAGATTGATGGCTGACTTCTATTTATAGTAAGGCAAAGCTTCTTGAGGAAGCTTTGCCTTTTTAGATATTTTTTACACATCCCGAGGCCATATCGCGATATGGGTTACCGTATCGCGCGATATGGCCAAACTGCAAGCTCTTTGTTTCGTTTTCTGCCATATCGCGATATGATAGGTGATATCGCGCGATATGGTAAAATTGCAAGCTCTCTGTTTCGTTTTCTGCCATATCGCGATATGATAGGTGATATCGCGCGATATGGGAGGTTATATCTCGATATGGTCACTGCAATAACTTCAAACTCTGTTTTGACCCTTTTGTAGCCCGAATCGGACAATTTGCATTTCACAAAAGTTGTAGACCTTGAAGTTGGCTTCGTAAATCCACTTGAATCAGCTCAATCGGAGATCGTATGAAGAAGTTATGCGTAAAATACCAAAGGCTGCCACCATCCACTTGATTGCAATATTTGCTCTTGTTTGACTTGATTCTCGGCTTCGCTTTCAAAATCGTTTCGAATCGGCAACAAAATCTAACAAAACCTAAAAAAGGAAATAAAACAAGAAACGCAATAATATATACAAATAAAGCCGAAACTCGGACGAACGAAGACCAAAACTCGAAGATTTGATAAGCAAAAATCGTGCAAAACGAACACTTATCACCTCCCCTGAAACCCCTATTGAAAATGATGTGCTTGATTGTGTGTTGTTTCTTGAGTGTGCCGAGATTTTAGGTGTAGACGAGGTAGGAATCGTCCCCGAGATACCAGTTAGTGTGAAAACGGCCCCCGTACTGGAATTGAAGCAATTACCGGATTATCTTTGTTATGCTTTTCTTGGAGCAGACAAGACTTATCCGGTGATTATTTCTTCTAGTTTGAGCGAGGCCGAAACAAACACACTGCTGGAGGTCCTTAGAGAATATAGGTCAGCTATAGGTTGGTCTATTGAGGGTATTAAGGGAATTAGCCCGTCTATTGTTCAACACAAAATTCTAATGGAAGACGTCTATAAACCGAGAGTCCAACCTCAGAGGCGGTTAAACCCGTCAATGAAAGAGGTAGTCAAAAAAGAAGTCTTAAAACTGTTAGGCGCTGGTATGATTTATGCAATTTCTGACAGTCCGTGGGTCAGTCCGGTGCAGGTTGTGCCAAAAAGGGGTGGGATGACGGTTATTGTGAATGATAAAAATGAACTTATTCCGTCTAGAACAGTCACTGGGTGGCGTGTGTGTTTCGATTACCGATTATTGAATGCAGCCACTAGAAAAGACCATTTCCCCCTTCCCTTTATCAATCAAATGCTAGACAGGCTAGGAGGTTTCGAGTATTACTGTTTTCTTGATGGTTATTCGGGGTACAATCAAATTTCAATTGCCCCGGAAGACCAAGAGAAAACTACTTTTACTTGCCCCTACGGTACTTTTGCATTTCGTAGAATGCCTTTCGGTTTGTGTAATGCGCCTGCTACCTTCCAACGATGTATGATGTCTATATTTCACGATATGGTAGAAGAGTTTCTTGACGTGTTTATGGATGATTTTTCTGTGTTTGGATCGTCTTTCGATCATTGTGTGCACAATCTAGAACTTGTTTTGAAAAGATGTACAGAAACGAACCTTGTTTTAAATTGGGAAAAATGTCATTTTATGGTTCGTGAAGGTATTGTTCTAGGTCACAAGGTCTCGAAAAAGGGTCTTGAGGTGGACAGGGCAAAAATCGAAACGATTGAAAAATTGCCTCCACCGAAGGATGTCAAGGGAGTTAGAAGTTTTTTAGGGCATGCTGGGTTTTACCGTAGATTCATTAAAGATTTTTCAAAAATAGTAAAACCATTATGTCATTTGCTTGAGAAGGAAGCTGTCTTTGATTTTGATTCTGCTTGTTTGCAGGCTTTCACGTTTCTTAAGGAGAAGCTAACCCAATCACCGATTATGATTACTCCCAATTGGGAGGAACCATTCGAGATCATGTGCGATGCGAGCGACTATGCCGTAGGTGCAGTATTGGGACAAAGGAGGGACAAAATCTTCAAAGCCATCTACTATTCGAGTCGTACACTTGACCAGGCACAGAAGAACTATTCAACGACCGAAAAGGAAATGCTTGTTGTCGTTTATGCTGTTGACAAGTTCAGACCGTATATTTTGGGGTCTCAGTGATCATTTACACCGACCACGCAGCTATTCGATACTTGTTCGCAAAGAAGACGCCAAGCCCAGACTCATCAGATGGGTACTCCTACTCCAGAGTTCGACTTGGAAATCAGAGACAAAAAAGGGAGCGAGAAT